AGCCTACATGATAGGTATAAAAAGAAATTATTTGCTTAAACTGAATCATGCTGAATAAGTTATTATATATGACAAGTATTTAAAGAATATATGAGGTATATATTTTAATATAAGCTAAATCATGATGAATAAATTACAAAACTAACTAAAATAATGAAAAAAAAAAAAACTAGGGGCCGGGGTACATCATATTTATTACTGAACATAAAATAGAATAAAAATTGTAAATATAATATGATACTACTGAAACGAAGCAATACCATAAGATGGAATTTCAAATATAGACAAAATGTACCCTGACCGAAAGATGGAAAAATGATGAGGGCGTTTAGTGCGGGTTTGAGCGGTTTTTGTGATTTTTGTGATTCTCGAACTATTACCCCTTATTTTAGTACGCTTGGGTTGTGTGTATAAGAGGGTAATGTTTCCTTTCGGTAGAATTTTTTTTGGTGACCAGTGAGGAAATTCCTTTGCGCAGCTTGAAGTTGAAGTTTTTTTTGTTTAGTAGAGAATTGTGCGTTTCGCCTTGTGAGGTAATCTTGCTACTTCTTTGTTTTTATTTTAATTTTTTGTTAGTATGTCTGGTTTAGGAGCTAAGGAATTTGACATAGGGGATTATGAATAATTAAGCCCATTGTACCCGTCATTAAGAGACTTRGGGTTGCCATCAGTAAATTCCTCGTGCATGGAGGGGTTTTCATTTCTTGCTTTACCCCTAGATGATTTGATGATGGGGAATGGTTCAATTGAATGTTCTGTCATGAATTTTGAGGATGTTAACAGCAATTATGATTAGCAGGCCTCCTAGTGTTGAGCCTTCAGGGAAAGAAGAGATATCTGAACCAGTAATTATCGATAGAGGGGTGGATCCTATGGTTACGAATATAATGCCCATATCTGGATACGAGTTGGTGCCGAGATCACAGGAAATCCCTTCACAGGTTGTACAGGAGGGCTTGGACTATTATCACTCTCGATATTGTATTCCAACGTCAATTTCTATGAGAGTTCTTAAACCCTACGAACGTATGACACACCCTCCCGAGGGAGAGACAGTCCTATACACAAAGATGTTTGAGAATGGGGTGCGATTGCCTCTTCACCCATTTATCCAACGTTTCATGTGTGAGCTCCA